TAGCACTGCCTTATATTCACCTGCTCCAGTTGGTCCATAAGCCAATATGCTAGCATTCTGCCCCTTTAGTAGATGGTGTAAGAGAGGCTGAACTGACCCCATGTAGACATCTTGTTGGGTGGCTGCCTCACCATAAAACGCATCAAACCTAGTGAAGAATATATGAATGTGAAAGGAAGGCAGGACAGAGGCTTACTGGGTTCTCTGAATTTTTTCTTTAGCAGTCTTGAAAAATGGACACTTTATTATTTATACCCTGCCTTTATTATTTTTTTAATAACTCGAGGCAGTGAACATACTCCTTGAATGTGGACGCTTTCTCCCTTCTATTTTCCCCACAACAATCCTGGGAGATGGGTTGAGCTGAGAGAATGGGCCAAAGTCATCCAACCGGATCTCATTTCTGAGGCAGAACTAGAACTCAGCGTCTCCGGGTATCTTAACCCACTAGCTCAGACTAATTTTGTCCATACAATGCATTCCATTAGTTCATTCCCATAATACATGCATGTAAAGAGGCTAATCATTAAAAAGTAGCATGACCCAGAAGAACAAGCATCTGTCATTGCTCATGTAGCATAGGCACCCCAAGAGTCCCTACCCAACTTACCTATATTTCATAGTCTCCATCTCATTTCTCCAGTTGAGAATTTCCAAGGAGTGGGAGTCCACACCTCGTACACATGGAGCTTCCTGACCATGTCCAGTTCCCACGGCTGGACGTAGCCGTACACAAACCTGTACTTGCTCTGAGGCATTATCAGAGCGGTGGAAGTCAGCCCGGCTTAATCGCTGATTAGTTGTCATGATTACCTATTGGGGAGAGGGGGGAGAGATACAGAATGGAACAAATATATTAGTCAATGTATATGCTACAATATGGGAGGACTAACAAAAGAGAATGGCATCTTTTTTTAAAAAAAGTGTTAACACATGGCTTATGGTCACACATTCACAGCCCTGGAAACCTGCCACGCTCAAATCACCTTGAACTCAACACTGAGGCAAAACTGGTTTCTTTAATACAGTGGCCTTCAACCTTTTGGGCACCAAGGATTGGTTTTCTGTGGAGAGGTTTTCCCATGGACCAGAGGGGGCATAGTTTCACATGCTGCCTGCATCCCATGGATGGGGCTTCACTTGTTTGCGCAGCCTGGTTTGTGGCATGCCACGGCCCACAGCCAGTCCACGGAATCCCTGCTTTAGAATACACGGAAACCCAATGAATTTAAAATAACAGCAAACTTTATTGGTTACAATTGTTATAAAAGACCCCCAATAAAAACAGGAGACAACAATACAATAAAATAATTCTTACTTTTAGAATCAGAGGTTTATTTCATGAGCCATTTGGAACTATTGGAAGAAATATCCTTCTGGGTTCAGTTCCAAGACACTGGAAACATGGAGGCTGTTTGGAAGGTGGTTTAATGATGGACAGCAGGACCACATGGCTTGAAGCTCCAGAGCGAAAAGGAAGAATGATCACATGTTTCAAGGTGAAGGAAGAGATCAAGAAAGGACTGATATGCTGAGAGTGCCTGGGTTTTATAACCTTTGTTGGGATTTGAATTGGAGCTTGTTTCTAATTGGTTGTCAGACTCCCCTGGGGCCATGCAGGGGCAATTCTGTAAGCTTCTCCTGAGTTCCAGGCTTGGTTGAGCCTTGCTGGATGATGCACTGAAAGGGCTTTGGGCAATTGCTATGGTTTTATCTGGAGATCTTGGTTATGTAAAGTATTCTGGCCCAGGCCTTAATGGCCCACCCATTAACAAAGGTGGGGGTGAGCTTCTGCTTCTGAGGTGAGTTTCTGCTTCTAATTTCTACTCTTTTTAGAAAAAATATTCTGCCTTTTTAATATTTCCTAGGCTATTTCAGTTTTCTAGGAGAGGGGTGGGTGCTAACTTCCTCCAGAACACGAATAGCTAACATATCAATACAATCTTACAGCATTACTTAAATCAATAACCCATTGCAAGGAGGTCCAGAGATAGCAGCTAGGTCCAGCTAACGTCAGTGGACATGATTTGAGACCCATCTTTTTTTATACCTTTCTTCTGATAGCCCCTCAGTAAATGGAATTTTACTGGAGTTACTTCCTTGTTCCCTCATACTGATCGTCAGTTAACACATACTTGCATGTACATGTGAAATCTACTATCTGCTACTTTCAGTTCCCTATTTCCCAGTGTCCAGGATATTCTTAGTCCATAGCTCCTGAAACTAATTACTTTGTAGATACATGTTGCAAAATAGCACTAGCACAGCAGATTACAAATATGCTTCTGAAATCATTTTAGCCAGCACTTTAATATATCATTTCATTTTGGGCCTCTAATTAAACTGAGGCCTACATGATTGAAGCAAGCCCAAGGCCCAGTCCTTCTCCTCTCACACAGTGTATGTCTATTTGCTCTTTCATATAAGTACACACTCATTAATCCACTCTTACCCACATGCCCAACTAGGCTGGCAGGCATTAGCCAAAGGGATAGAAGCTGCCAACTCTGGGTCCAAAGACAATTCCAAGAGTGGGCAGACTTCAGGACCGCTTTTATCTCCCAAAGTCCTTGCTTTGTATTGATGGAACTTGGGGAGAGGTTTCCCATGTGCTCAGGCTGAATTTTTGTCTGATTCCGGTGACATTTTCCCCTTTGTTTCCATAACAACTTGGTTCCTTCTTAACTACTCTGTCTGAGGGAGCTTTTCCTAAGTTTTGTCCCACTGTTTACTTACCATTATAATAATCATCATTAGGTATAGCAACTTTAGTCTACTTTAGTTTGGTTTACTTTATTGTCATTGCACCTCATACAACAAAATCAAACACCATCTTCAGTGCACATCATGACCATGAGCATGAAAATAAACACAAACACACATCCTTCAACCTTCACACATTGAATTGGAAACCCCTGACACCACACCAACACTGCACTATACAGAAGAATTCAAAAGAGCTACTGCCCTGGGATAGAAGCTGTTTTTCAGCCTATTTGTCCTTGTTTTTATTATTCTGTACTGTCTGCCAGATGATAATAGTTCAAAAAAGGGTTCCCAGGATGAGATGGATCTTTGAGAATGTTTTGAACTTTCTTAAGGCAGCGGGAGCTATAAGCTCTTCCAAAGAGGGGAGAGGCCAACCAATGATCTTCTGGGCAATGACATTAACCCTCTGGAGTGCTTTCCTACCTGCCACTGTGCAATTGGCAAACCATACAGAGGTGCAGTATGTTAAAATGCTCTCTATGGTGCAGCGGTAGAAGGTCACCAGCAGTTTCTCATTCAGTTGTTGTTTTCTGAGAAGTCTCAGGTAGTATAATCTCTGCTGGGCCCTTTTGACCAGGGCTGCAATGAGGGCACCCCAGGTCGGGTCGTCTTTTATGATAACACCCAGAAACTTAAAATTGGCCACTTGCTCCACTTGGTCTCCATTGATAAGCAAGGGCTGGATGTCTGGTCTGTTCCTTCTATAACCCACTATAAGCTCCTTGGTCTTATTGGTGTTGAGGACCAAGTTGTCTCCACACCACAAAAGCAACCGGCAGACTCATTCTGCCCCCCCCCCCCCATAAGTCCCACCACTATTGTATCATCTGCAAATTTAGCAATTTTACAAAACCATAAACAGATTTTAAAGGTTAAAGCCTTGTCTTCCAAAAACAACTGAAATTATTCTTATTTATCTTGACATTTATTGGACAATTCTATCAAAACTAGAGTGCCTTTTCACTTTCCTGTTGTTTCCTTAGGGGAAAAATAGTGTTTAACATGTTTTATTGTGATTTTAAGGCATCCCTCCCCCATAACTATCTTTAAAGTAAGAATCACAGAAATAAAATTCCATTATTCATGGGTATTAACCTATTCAGAATTTAACATCAATACTAAAGTGTTTTATTACAGTTTGGTCGAAAAAACACATCTTTTTCAAATAATTAATTGAAATTGTTATTGAACTTACAATCATACATTTCCATAGAAGCATCCTATGGTATGGGTAGGGGTATTATAAGTAATCGAGGAAAAGGAAACATGCATTTAGAAAAAAATCGACTGGCGATCAATCTTTCATCAAGCTGCTTAATGGAATTTAAGGAACTGCCTTCATTTTGGACGCAAAAATCCCTCTGATGTCGGATCGAAGCCCTATTTTGCAAGGACACTTTTACTTGGACTTGGATTTCTTTCTTAGCATCTATAATGGGATTTGCTTCCAAATGCCAGTTTCAAAAAAATTAAGTATCCCATCCATACATTGCACCCACCTTTATCAAGCCAGTGCACAAGCCGGATCCTGATCTTCGTTTGTATTTGGCGCTAACGGGAAGCAGACCAATGGGAGAAAAGAAAGAAAACAAGCGGTTGCCTTCTGCGCGTGCGCACCGCTCATTCGAATGTGCCAAGCTCTAGAACAATGGGAAAGGATGGGGGTGGGAAGAGAACAGAAATTTGCGCACGCGCACTGGAACAAAAGGACGTTTTGAAGATTTAAATTCGGAACGGAAGTACTACATAGGGCGTGGGAGGCACGTGACGTAAACTCATTTTTAATAAACACCTATTTGACATTGAACGAATTCTCAACAGATCTCTAGAATTTTTTTTTTGTATTGCCGAAACCTTAGATAACTTATCTTCTATTTGAATGTTAATTTCGCACACCAATGTTAAAGAGCTGCAGCCGCGCCTTCTTCCACTTTTCCTTATATATTTTTAAATGTCCAGGCTATTTTTTTTTAGTCACTCGTAATAGTTTTTAAATCTCTAATTTTGTATGAAAACATAGGAAAGTAAATAACACTTGAAATTTACAAAATGGTTGTTAGGGAGACCGGACATAACCCGATTTTTACAAGAGGGATAGCGCACGCGCAATGCACCACCCAAGCGAGTCGCGCGTTCCAGCCTTTCTTTCTAACGCTCAGGGGGCGGGATTAGATTCGTCGCCCGAAGCTGCGATCGATTGTGCTGGCCTCGATTTTTACAGTCTCGCTAGAGGGGAAAGTGGGGAGGAGGGGAAGAGCGTTCGCGAGCTCCGATGCGTGGAATCGCCGACACCGTTTGTCTGCTTGGGACTGCCCCTAGGAACTGGGGTCGTAGTGCCTCTGAGCATGCACAGAGTGCTATTTCTCAAAAAGACTTTCGTTTGGTGAAGCTCGCCGTTCTTTTATTGGCCTAAGATTTAAATCCGAGGCATCTGATTTTTGCAAAGCAGTGAAATACTTTGGTCCCGTGAATATCTCATGTGCAACCCTGGATTTGAACGCAGGACTGCAGCTTAAGGCTGCGCTTAACTCCTGTACCGAAATCCTAAACTTCTTTCTCACCGTTAACATTTGGAGATTTGGGGTAGGTCTTTAGAAAAAAAACATGGCTCTAGACTAGAGCCTATTCTTGTTTTTGTTTTTCTTTGGAAGATACAAATGTTGCTTAGTATGACGCTAATGTGAAAACCTGTTTAGTTTTGGATGCTGGTTATTGGTTCACTTCCATTAAGTTATAACCATGAGAAAATACAGGTAGTCCATGACGTATGACCACAATTGAGTCCAAAATTTTTGTAGACATTTGTTAGGTAAATTTTATCTCACTTTACGACCTTTCTTGCCACAGTTGTTAAGTGATTCACTGAGTTGTTAACTTAGGGACATGGTTGAATTCAATGAATTTGGCTTCCCCATTGACTTTGTTTGTCAGAAGGTTGCAAAAGGTAACCTTCACATAACCCTGGGACTCGGGCAACTGTCATAAACAGGAGTCAATTGCCCAGCATCTGAGTTTTGTAACCAATTGACAAACCAAATAAAATAAATAAATAAATAAAATTCCCCCATCCAAGCAGGAGACCTGGCCTAAACCATTTCTGACAGATGGCAGTCCAGTCTCTTCTTGAAAGTCTCAAGTGATGAAGCTCCCACAACTTCCGAGGGCAACTTCTGTTCCATTGGTTGATTGTTCTCACTGTTAGAAAATTTATCCTTATTTCCAGGTTGAATCTCTCCTTGTTCAGTTTCCATCCATTATTCCTTGTCTGGCCTTCAGCTGCCTTGGAAAATAGCTTGACCCCTTCCTCTCTGGGGCAGCCCTCAAATATTCAAACACTGCTACCATGTCTCCCCTGGTCCTTCTCTTCACTAGACTAGCCATGCCCAGTTCCTGAAACCGTTCATCCTATGTTTTAGTCTCCAGTCCCCTAATCATCTTGGTTGCTCTTTGCGCTCTTTCTAGAGTCTCAAAATCTTTTTATACTATTTTTATAGGTAGGACTAGAACTCAAGTTCTCCTGTTTCTAGCATGGTACCTGAACCACTTCACCAAACTGGCAAAATTGGTACAACTCCAGTGAGTTGTTATATTAGTATTGCCTATGATTAAAAATAAGAAACCTAAAGTGAAGAGATCCTGGTTGAGATCCAATGAATTAATGGTTCATACATCTGCTTTATATCTCTCTATACAGTCTTCTTCAAACCTGGGGTAAGTGATTAATTTTGGAATAATCAGACAATATATACTAATTTGACAGAAACCACCTGAACATAAAGATGTTCAAAAGACCTGTTTAAATTAAGGATTGTGATGTTTGTCTCCTGCCAATATACCGACTCTTTAGCAACTGAATGGCCAAGATTGGATTTTCATCTGCATTTGTAATACCTTTACATGCTTTTTGTGATATATATATATATATTTCTAAATTACTGTAGGCTTTCGTCATGACTTCCATCTCTGGAAAAATTATTGGAATCAAAACCAACTTTATATACTGCTTTTAATTCCCCTGGTGGAAAGGCCTTTTAAAAAACCTTCTTGCCCATTCTTGCAATATCTTGGAGGCATAATAGCATTATTAAAACCAAAGTAAGTATATTATAAGTATAACCAAAGTAAATATATTTTGCATGAGAAGTTGCTTTTTTATGTAGTTAATTCCAAAATCTTACAGCAAAAGTCAATATTCCAAAATACCCGGGTCCTTAAACCCATTTCTAATTTTTTAGATTAAAATCATATTTAGCTTATTGCTGTTTATTTCAAATTTTTATGTTCTTAAGCTTGTAATTAATTTGTTTGTTCAGAGCTGAAAATAAACCCATCCGATGAAGACTTTTAAAATCTTGTCATTTCAAAGATCTCTCTAATATCTTCTGAATAGTTAGCAGGCAATTTCTGAAAGTCATTAGAAAGTGAGATTTGCAAACTTAGTGTCCTTTAAAAGGCTTTGCCATGGTTGTGAACAAGATGGTTAATTCCTTTGTCTCCCAGTACTCAAACCCATGGGAAACTGCTGTCCTACTGTCTCTTCATGAAGAGCAGTTGTCCGGAGCATATGTGTGTGATCTCTTGTCCTTTCGTTATCCAGAGCAGTTCGAAGGAATGGGTCTACTCACTGGTTCCTTGGGCTTTGCCATAGTCGTTGGTGTTCCTTTCACAGAGCTGTCTTCAGTTCACCATACTTTTCCTGGAAGCTCTTTTCTTTTGCTATTTTGGTAGACGATCCATTAGTGCATAAATCTATTTGGGATTGGTAGATGATAAAAAAAATCTGGTTATTGTGAATCAGAACTTAATATGCTGGGCTTGTTGGTTGGAAAGCCGGCAGCTCAGGATTTGAGTCCCAAACACCAAGTGACAGGGTGAGTTCCCATCCTTGCCTCAGCTCCTGCCAACCTAGCAGTTTGAAAGCATGCAAATGTGAGTAGATAAATAGGTACCACTTTGATGGGAAGGTAACAGTGCTCCGTGATTGGTGGCCACATAACCGTGGAAATGTCTTTGACAATGGCCTTGAAATGGAGATGAGTACCACCCCCTATAATTGGCAACGACTAGTGGAGTAAAATCCACAGGGACTCCTTTACCTTACTTTTTCAGTAACCCAACATTATTTTCTGCCTTTCTTAATTTTGGGATATGCACTGGAATATTTACAGCATTATATTTTATAATATTTAACCAGTTATCTCAGATTCTTTTTTTTTTTTTTTTGAACAAATTTTTATTAATTTTTAAAAACATACAAAACATACAAAAATACAAGACATAAAAGATCTCTTTTCTGAAAGTTGCTTAATCCCGGGTCAAAACTCTTGGTACAGACACACATTCAAATTCATATTCATTTTACATACCATTCCATATCTTATTACATTTTCATTTTTCTATATAGCTTCTCCTTTCTTTTAAATTTTCTCAATTTTATTTTATTTATCTCCTCTCAATTCAAATCATAATATTTATTATTCTTTGTCTGTTCTATTTCCAACTATCCGTTTATCTTTCTTCTTAAAAGAAAAAAAAGAAAAACCTTCTCCTGTACACTGATTGGAGTATGACGCCTATGTCTCTTTCCCCTATATCTATAATACTTGATTTAAAGTACATAACTTATGTTGGGATTCTGTCTGGTACATTCTGACATTATACAATATCATCAAAACCAATACAAATCTATTCGTTAATATTAATATTTATTCATATCTTAAACATCTAGCACATTTCTTATCAATTAGGTCACATATTTCTATGGGAGCACCTATTTGCCATATTAATTCCGCCCCCCACATCACATATTATAAATCATTATTACATTACATGTTCCCCTCTCCTTCTTCAAACCTTTCATTTCACGAATAGTTTCACTAATATAACATGGCCTAATCATTGGTATTAACAATCATTTATATCTTTAGACATTTTACCCATTTCAATTAATTATCATACCTTTATGGGAACACTTCTTATACTTTCCAAAATTATTTCCCCCCCACATCACCAATCTTAAATCATTATTTCATTAAAGTACTCCCCTCTCTTAACAAAAATTTCACTGAATTATACTAAATATTTTATCACATTTTAAATTGCATATTATTTCCAGTCTTCTATAATTATTTCTAAATACAAATATAAAAATGCAATCTTATGTACCCTTCTAGAATCCCTTTTCCAATAAAATCTATCCATTATCTCTAAAAAACTTTTGTTTTTTTGCATTTTGCTCCCCAACGTTAAAGCTTCTCATCCCTTCCTTTCTCCCTTGCTTCTTCTCCTTATCCTCTTTACCCCCTTGTCTCTCCACCTCCCTGTTATCCTGTTGTCCCCCTTTCTGTTGTTTCCTAACACGATATCCTCTTTTCACCTTATTCTTCTCTTTTTGGATTGTTTTCCCAGGTCTTAAAGTCTTCTCCTTTTTCTCCTCCTTCTTTTCTTCCCCAACCAAAGTCACTTGTTCGTCAAAAATGGCTTCTTTATCCTGCTCATACGATTTTACATAAGCACAGATCGCCATTTCTATAAACTGAAAAAGAGTGCCAAAGACATCTTTCCCTTCTTGCTTTTCTTTTTCATATTTTTGGTGTATAAGTTCTAGTTCATCCACAACTGATGCCATTGTACAGAGAAATTTTTTTTTCAAAACAACCACCCGAGTGCTTTTAGTCTGAGATAATTCTCATAAAATCCAAAGTCATCAAACAGTCTAATCAGCTGATTCTTTTTAATACTTTCTCTTTTTCCACTTTCTCTTTTTGGGATGAAGTTTGATCACAAAGTTCTCTTTAAAATATATCTTTAGGAAGTCTTATTGCTGTTTAATAACTCTTTAAAATTAGCTCTTTAAAGTTTTAGGCAGTCTTCTCCTTATTTTCAGGTTGCTCCAATTTTTTTTTTCCCTCTCCCCTCCCACTCACAGCCAGAAAAAAATTCTCCTCTTTTTTTTCCCCTTTGAATATTCAGAAATCCTTGCTCCTTCAATATTCATTTACCTCCAGAACAGATTCCCGGATTTCTCTTATGGTTCCACTGCTGTCACGTTAGGGAGGAGAGTGAAAGGCAAAAAACCCCAAAAAACCTTTCTCTTTTGAAATGTTCACCGCTTGTATCTCTTTCTAGAAACAAAGTATCCTTAGCAGCCTTTGAGGTTACAGGAACTCTCTCTCTTAACTTTATCCCAGTCAGAAGCAACTTCCACAGCTCTTCCCTCTTCCTCCAGCACAAATCTTACCCGGCTGCAGGCTTCTTTGAGGCGGCCATTACTGACCGCCGCTCCACCACCTCAGGAAAAAGGGGTTATTCCGGCTGGAAAGGGGGTCTGCGTTACCCCCAAACCTCTGTCCGGATCCCCTCTCTCTTTGGCTGCCTCTACAAGGCAGCCATAGCCCCCAGACCTATTTAGATCGGGGGCACCTTGGCGGCGAGCGCGGCAGGGATTGCAGAGGCGCGAATTCCTGCCGCTACTGAAGCCGCGCAAAACCGGAAGCCAGTTATCTCAGATTCTTGACTCCCCAGAATTTGCCATCTTTGTGCTTATCCTGTGGTCTCGTCTTCTCTTTATTACAGCCATGGAAGAAGCCAGCACTGTGGAAGAAGGGGAAGTGACCTCGGGGATGCAATCCTTGGCAGTAGAAGATGGGCCTGCTCCGGATTTAGCTTCTGCCACTGAGGAACAAGATGACGCTGCCAGAGAAACAGAGGGGGAATTATCAGGGAAGGGGGAGGAATCCGCTGAAGAGGATTGGTGTGTCCCCTGCAGCGATGAGGAGCTGGATTCTCCAGATAACTGGATGCCTGAACCTGAGGAGATCCACCGTTTATACGAGCTCATTGCTGAGCACGGGTCTCTGGAGATTCAGGCCGAAATCCTCCCTCGGCGCAACCCAACCCCAGAGCCTGACAGTGAAGATGAAGATAAATCTGATGGACAATCTGAATACCAGGAAGAAGAGGAGGAGGAGAAGTGAGGAATGGGTTTTTGTATTTGGCTTGAAGAAGGGAATCTTAAGATTTGAGATTATGTTAAGGGGAGGAAACGATAGACTTGAGAATATTTCCAGGTTGATTCTTTTCTCTCTCTCTCTCTCTCTGTCCAGGCCTCATATACCTACCGAGTTTGACTTTGATGATGAGCCTGCCTCTCCCAAAAGCTCCTTGGTTGATCGACGGAGAACTCCTGGTACGTAAGGAAGGCAATTGAGTTTCCATAAGAAGATAGAAGAGCATTGCCAGGCCAATGAATTATGGAATAGAGCATTCTGCCCCCAAACTGGCCCACCAGTTGCTAATGGGAAACCCACAAGCTGGCTGTGGGTGCAATAGGACCTTCCCTCTTGTGTTACCTATTGCAAATAGCAGCAGCACTTAGACTTATATACCACTTTACAATGCTTTACAGCCCTCTATAAGTGGTCTACAGCAGTGATCCCCAACCTTTTTTATGCCGCGGCCCGGTACCAGCATCAGCTGGGCGCCGCGGCCCGGTACCGGCATCAGCTGGGCGCCGCCATCTTTTTTTGATGAAAAAGTGCTTCCGGTGAGGTCACCGGAAGCACTTTTTCATCA